CTTTTTTTATTGGGTTTTGTGTTTATAATGGGGCTTTACAACTATGGCAGAGTCAAATACTGGCTATTTAAACATCACAATTGTGTGTGTGTGTGTGTGTGTGTGTGTGTGTGTGTGTGTGTGTTTACACACCAAAATTTAGAAATAGTGTCATAATAGGAAGTGCTGCTTTTTTGGGGGTGGGGAAGTTTTTCCGAATCATGGTTTAGGTCTACCTTTGACAACAGAATCTAAGAAAACAGAGGACACCAGGGCAAGTATTCTCAGAATGGGGTCAGGAAACCTGCCTCAGAATCTTTACTTCTCTTGCTCCAGATCTGATTTTTCTTTGGTGCTACCATTTGTAATCATCCCTCAAAACAAAGAGAGAGCACCACAGGTTTTGCGGCAATGGGCCTGATCTGTACGCCATCAAGTGGCAATATATACCTCTGGTGATATAATTAATAGGATTCAAACGGCTATCAAACAGGCCACAGCAGAAAGGATTCCTACTGCCTAATTGTACATGGTTATAATAATAGAAAATGAGTATTATTTCATATTTTAAAATTCTAGGCAGAAACCATTAGCAATTAATTTTTCCTAAAGAACTGGCTAATGACAATGTAAATAAGGCTGTGTTGCGCTTTTATCTACTCCTGTGTCTTTTTCATGAAGTACTAGAACTGAATAGCTAAATGATTGTTCTGTTGCATAATATAACCCAACCCTACTTCTATCTGCCCACACTCCCATCAGAAGAGAAGACCACACTCAGGAGAAGGAGAATTTATGATAAAGGCTTCCACAACAGGAGGCTTAACTTAAAAAGAGGAGAGCTCCATGGAACTCAAGAAACCTGGCTTTCTGAGGCACTATGAGAACCCAGATAATATTTTCCTACTGGGTTTAGTAGGTGGGTTATTTTTATTATTATTATTATTTATTTTTTAAAGATCAAAAGAATAGAATTCCCTAGTGGGAACTGCAAAAAACACGTTAGACAAAAAGCCAAAAAATCAACAATTTTAACCTTTTTCTTTTAGAGATGCTCACATATAATACTCAGTAGGGTATCCCTCCCACCCTCCCAGCATGTTAGTAATTGGTACCCTTTATTGGTACCAATTCATAGATAACATTTAGGAAATTTCTGATTTTTTTCTTCATGATTTAATGATACACAATTATTTCTCAGTAAGAGTCACCTTAGCTGGAGTTGGGTATTTAAGCAGTATATGACACTAAACACATGAAAACAGGTAAATTATAAATTTATTATTTTCATTTAATTATGTTCTTTGGCACATTAAACATTATATGTTTAATTCACAGATTATCAATTACTATCAATGAATGAACAATGAGCAAATTGGTACTGATTGTTGATTGGAAAATACACCCGACCTCCCCTTACTTAAATTGAGCTTATTTTGTTATACTCTATCACAGCATCCTTTACTCTTCCAACATAAAACTTATTGGTTTTAAGTATATTTTTTATATTAGATTGTATATTTAACACAGAACCTCCATGGAAAAGACCATCTATTTTGTTCACCACTACATGCCCAATATCCAGTACAGTATCTGATCCTTAATTATTTGTGGAATATGTAAATGAAGTCATTAGGTTCTTGGGATCTTAAATTGGGGAAGTTAACTGATAGGCTTTAGAATTCTTTTGAATTCCCTGCAATTATCTAAAACAATTTGTTTATATACACATTTCTCGGGGAGAAGACCCACCACCTCCATTAGATTTCAGAGGGGTCTGTGATCTCCCCAAAAGTAAGAAATCACTGGCTTATTTCAGTTATAAAACAGGAGTAAATACCAAAGAGCTCCGCTGTAGCCTAAAATAAAGTATGCTACATGTATGTACCTTTACATGGAAAGATGTGTGACTGTGTGTATAGGTGTGTGTACAACTTCCAAGAACAGAAACACCTCAGTGAATTTACAGAACAATCCACATTCTAACTTCCCCCAAGTAACTGATCATTGCTATAGTCACTGGGCTCCAAGAGTAGCTGCTTGTATTTATCTGTTTCTTGGCAGCAACTTCCATCACTCAGGCTAGAGAAAAGGAGTCTGTAATTCCCTCCTTTCACCTGTTAGGGATGCTGACATACCTCTTTTGGAAGTTCCTTTTAATAAACCTGTAAACCTCCCAGTTAACAAAAGCAAAGCTGGGCTCTGTTTATAAAGCACACACTCCAAGCAATTTGATTCCTTGTCCTGCAGGCAGAGAGGAGATCCAGCCTAACCACGCTACAGAGAGCTGCACCTATTCAGGGGGTGAAAGACTTTGAGATGGGCTGGAATAGGCTAATTGGCTGTTGTATATTAAACTTTTTTTCTTTCTCTCCCAGCTGCAGAAGATGCTTCCCTCAGTAACTTTTCCCCCTCATTTTTCTCCTGAATATGGAGATTTCAAAAGTAAATTTGTCAGAGAAAAGGTTTTTGATGTGCCACTAACTCTCAGTTATCCATATTAACAGAGACAAGCAGTGGTGCAAATAATTCAAAGCAAAAGGTTCTTTCTGCATAGCTTTGTAGTTCATTGTTTTGAGGGGCTTGGTGGGCAGACTTATCTCCCTAATTATGTTTGTCTTTGCTTCTTATAAAAATGAGTTGTCTGCCTTAGGACCAGGCAGTTGGGCGACATGAAGACTCTGGCAGAGAACTTGTAAAATTCACCAGGGGAAATCCATAAGGAGCACAGATAATCAAACTTGACAGCATTGAGTTCACATTCTTAATCACCTGTGGTCAATTGCTCCGTTCTTCTGTGACTAAAGTGAGTCAGGGAGGGGACATAATTATAGGAGACTAGTTGTCAGGCAATGAGTCTTTACATTTAGATGAAGACACAAGATTTTTTGTGGCTAAAATTGATAATGAAATCAATGTTGATGTTTTCCCTGCCTGGGCCAACAACCTTCTATTCTGCAGCGAGTTATCTTTATGCAAATCTCATGATGTTCATCTCTCCATTATATCCTGCAATGGCTCCCTGTGCTAGATGTTAGGGACATTCACAAAATCTGACTCTCTCCTCCCCGTCATGTGTTAGGACCATACACTTCCACCCAAAAGTGAGATATGGCTGTGGGGCTGGCATTGGCTAATGAAATATGAGTGAAAGTGGCATGTGTCACTTCTCAGTGGATGGTTCCAGAGTCAGTATGTGCATGGCTACATGCTTTGCTTGGTGAGGCAACTGGCAGCATCTGAGACTGTGGCTGCTTCATCAGCCCGGGTCCCCGAGTGACTGTGATGAGCAGAGCTCCCATCGGCCAGTGATGGGCACATGGTAGGTACAAGAAATAACATCCCCTGTCCTGGCCAGGTGGCTCAGTAGGTTGGAGTGTTGTTCTATGCACCAAAAGGTTACAGATTCAATCCCTGGTCAGGGCACATACCTAGGTTGCAGGTTTGGTCCCTAGTTGGGGTGTTCATGGGAGGGAAGCAGTAAATGTTACTCACATTGATATTTGTCTCTCACTCTCTCCCCCTTCCTCTCTCTCTAAAATCAATAAAAAAACACATCCTTGGGTGAGGAGAAGAAAGAAAAGAAGGAAAGGAAAGGAAGGGAGGGAGGGAGGGAGGGAAAGAAAAAGAAAGAAGAGAGAGAGAAAAAAAAAAAGAGATAAATCCCTATTGTCTTAAACCACAGAGATTTTAAGATTCTTGGTTAAATCAGCATATCTCTATCATGGCACACATCAAGGTGCACCATGATTATCTGAGTTATCTCCCCAACTAGACACTGAACAACTTGAGGCCAGATCTATTTCTCCTTCAGTATATTAAGTACAGTGTGTAGCCTATTTAAAACAACCTAGTAGAAAACAAAATTCTCTTCCTTCCCGGCCTCTGTGATCCTCCACGTGTATGTTTTTCAAACACTTGCTCCCCTATCAGTATCACTGGCTAAAATGATAAGGAATCTTTGGTGTTCAGATACATGGATCAGTAGTACAAGGAGAAGAGCTGGCAGAGAGAAGAAAGAGGCATACTTAGGTTGCAGGAATTTCAAATACAATACATGGTCATGGGGCAGACAAGATTTTGAAATGAAGTCTTAGAGTGACCATATGGAAAAAATAGTATCCCAAAATGTTTTTTGAGGGATCACAGGTGTTATCTGAACTAGACTCCTACACCACCACCACCACCACCACCATCATCATCATCATCATCATCATCATCAAACCAATATTTACTAATAACTTACTATGTATCAGGCACAGCTCCCATCAACTTACAATTTAATTATTTGGATCCTTACAACTGTATTAAGGTAGCTATTATTATTTCCATTTTAGAGATGAAGAAATTGCCCAACAGAGAGGTAAACTGATTGCTATGGCCACACGGCAAGCAAATATCCCTCTCTGAATTCAGGGCCTTCTTGCAAACTCCCCATCAAGGGGAGCTCTCTAACTCCCAACATATCCAACCCCTGGGAGTCATGTCCTGCCTCCCCCTCCAACTGCTGTCCCTCAGACAGTTGTGCCTCTAAGACCAATGCAAAGCAGTTCTACCCTCTTCTTTCCAAGGTAGTCCCTCACATATATGAGGGCAGCATTTGTGTGCTCCTTTATGCTCCTCTTACCCAGTCTAAACAGCCCCTATTCACTCAATCCCAGTGTGTCATAGCCTGTGGTCCCTCATCAGCTCAGTAACACACATGTTAGTTGGTTAAGTCAGTAGAGTGGAACTGTTGATTCTCCCTTCTAGTCTTGCCCTGAGCTAATGCCTTCTACAACCCCAGCAAATTCCCTTCACCTTGTAAAACAAGATCTGGAGGCAGAAATGGGGTCATAATCTGCTGCAGAACAGCTGGGTGGCATATGTCCCTATTTTGGAAAGAGGTGTGCTCAAGGATCCACACATCCAGAGTTCCTTATTCTTACTCAGGTTGTGCCTCTTCTCATCCTTCCTCTGTTCCCTTCCCTCACCACTCTCCTGCCCCCAGAGGCAGTGCTGATAGCAGGTGTTCCACTCACCATGGAGTTCATGGCGAAGTGATTGTGCTGTGTCTGGAGGTCTAGAGCATGCTGGTAGCTGACTCCGATCTCTGTATGGCTCTGGAGAAATAATTCCTTGTTGTGGCTTATCCAGTCGAACATCTAGATGGGACAAGATCATACAGAGTAATCAGAAGGGTCATGGAACCAACAGTGCAACACTTTCAGAGCTACTGGAAGAAAAAAAGCCCTCCTGCTGTTTCCCAGTGAGAACAAGTCATCACTCTCAGAGCAGTGTAGTCCACAGATTGGTTTCCCAGCAGAGCCCTCACGTTTAGCATAGGGACCCACCATTTTGTCTCTGTGTTTCTCCACAGAGCCTAACAGAAAAAGAGTAAGAGAATCAGGGAGATGAGGGTGAAAGCTATTTACTACCCCTAGGTACTTGCCCTTCATAAAAACTTTTAGAAAGCCTCAAGAGGTCCCCATGCATGTTTTTGGGACAGGTGATGAGGGGACAAGCTGGGAGGCTTAATCTATCCCCTACTGCCCCAGCTGAGGAGAGAACACATTGCTGAAAGCAACAGAGCTCACTAACATGCCATGTACATGGTAACCAACGACATGCTTTTGTTGAATTGACTTTGAACTGAATCAACCTTCTTGTAGTTCCACAGACTCCTAAGTCCAGGATTTCTGCTATAACCCATCAGGAACTAGAAGAAGATTTTAAGGGTAGAGTATAGTAAGTACTACTTGGCACAGAGGCACAGAGCCATTTTCTTCCCTGTAGCTCTGTACCTTGGTTGTCATGTAGGTTTCTCCCAGGCACCCCGCATGCTTTAAAGGTCGCTGACCAGAACCCCAACTCTAGAGAGAGCCGGATCACTCTAAAGGTTATCCCTCCTCAGGACATCAGATCTAAGCCAATCAGTGTATAACAGTTCCTGGTCAACGGGATTTTCTCAGAAATAGGAATGTTATTCAACTTAGTACAATAAAACATGAGGGGATATTTGCTGGAATGTTCTGGGAAGACAGAACCCTAGTTCTTTAGATACAACCTCTCTTCCTCTGATACTGTCATTGTGAACCTGAGCCTCAAATTGCTGAGCCATGCAGACCCTGAGCCATTCTGTAGGCATCTGGGGGGTGAAGCCTATGGGCAAAGAAAGGGTGTAGCAAAAATAATGGCAGGAAACACAGGCAGAGCCCTGATTGAGCCTCCCTGATCTCCAGCTTGTTTGTGGATTCCCTTAGTACCTTAGTCAAGAAATCCTCTTTATCATTCAAGCCTGTTTATTTTTTTATTTTTAATTAATTAATTAATTTTTTCAAATACATTTGTCTTTGCCTACCCCCCACCACTTTCCCTTGCCCCCTCCCTCCCTCCCTTCCTCAACTCTTCCCCTTATTCAAGCCAATTTAAGTTGAATTTTCTGTAGTTTCCTGCCCAGATCGGTCAGATCAAGTAAAACAACCAGGAAGTGTATGAAACCTTTGGAGAAAAGCACAGCTATACTTGGAACTGATGCTCTGTAATTTGGGATGGGCCAATGGCTGCAGCTCAGGTACAGAAGCTGAGCACAGGTGCAGGCTGAGAAGCTGCAAAGATCATACAGCTTTCCTGGAAGTACAGCTGCAGCCTTATTCATTATTATCTTCTAAACAGAAAAGTGAATGCACTTTTTTAACTACATTCAACCAACATTTAAGGGAGACTCTCTGTGTGCCAAGCACTGTCCAAGGCAATAAAAGGCAAAAATGACAAATATGTGGTTCTTGAGTTTAAGTGGCTTGAAGGCCAGTGTGGAAAGCAGACAGGGACTCGGATACAATGCTAGTACAGCTTGGCATACGGCTTGTTTAAAATCACAACACGGAAAAAAGCACTCTATCAAGATAAAGGCCAATATGGTCTATCAAGGTAGCACTCTTCCCCCTTCATGGTGTGGGGACAGGGGAGAACCCAGAAGGCTTCCCAGAGCAGGTGACACGTGAGTTGAGCCTTCACTCAGTTTGGAATTAGCCAGGTGAAGATGAGTGGGATGCAAGCTCCAAGCAAAGGAGCAATGAAGGGGACAGAACTGTGGGGCAGGCCAGTGTACCTAGGGATCTGAAAACGCCCGAGCTGTGCTTCTGGAGCCTAATGTGAGAAGATGTGGCTGGGGAGGTGGACAGGATGGCTGACCATGGAGAGCCCTGGACACAGTCTTCAAAAAATCTGGACTATAGACTGTGGGCAGCAAGATGTCAGAGGAGGGTTTTACGCTGAGCAGTGAAGAATGGTGTGAGCTTTGATAACAGTGTGGGATGTGGATTGGAGGGGTGAGATGGGGCAGATAGAATGGTTAGGAGGCTTTTGTTACAGCAACTCTAGTGAGAGAGGGTGAGAACCTGGAAGCCTGGCTTAGGGGAGTAGCAGTAGAGCCAGAAAAGTGGGCTGGCTTGAGGTCTACTAGGAACCAGACTGGGGACTCATTATGGTTCTAGGAGAGAGGGCAAGAAAGAGCTTGGAAGAAGAGCCAGGTGTCTGGTATGGCAACCTGCGTCCTTGTAAAAAAACTTGCCACCATAGGTACTACCTATTTAAATAGAAGGATATGAAGCTGAGGTGGGGAAACAGTGGGCTCAGTTTTCAATGTGCCGAGTCTGAGAAGCTTATGAGAGCTTCAACTGTAGGTGCCCTATAGGCAGTTAGATTTACATGTCTGGTGGTCAAAAAAGAGGCGTTGAGACTGTGACAACTCACTTAAGTATAAAAACATCACCGTCTGAAGGCAAACATGCATGATTTAAGAGATGATTCTCCCTTTTAAATTACCTGGATCACTTTTGGCTGCCTATACAAATAATAAAGAGCAGAAGTACCATCTTTACTTGCAAGTGTCAGTGGATGTTTCAGGCTGGGGGCTCCTGTAGAGGCTGGGTCCATGTCTGTTGTGTGCACTGGGTCTGCGAGCTATGGCCAGCCCCACATTGCAGGCACTAGGGCAGGGCTTTTGCTTCTTTAAAATTGTTATTAAGCACCAGGGGGGAAAGAAGACAAGTACCCAGGAGTTTAGAGGAATCTCATTCTATAATTTTTGATCTTTAAATTTCTGCTTCTCAAATCTATTTTAAAATAATCTCTCATCTTTTTTCCTTATTGACAAAAGAATCAATAAAGTAAATGGACATGTGAAGTGCCTCAAGTCCTTGGAATCTGTGATGAAAAAAGATCACTCCACATATTTTTGGTTATCCCAGTGGCTGAGAAGTGACCTTCCCTGTATTTTCTCTGAGGTGCCATTTAGATATGCAAATAAGCAGTGGAGTAATGTGCTAGCTTCAGAATATTAGATGGTGCAGCACCAGGTCTCTGCTGGACTACAGAGCAAGGAAAGCTCAACACAGGCCAGTTAGAGTAGAAAGCAGTAAGACACTTGAGTTAAAAGCCATGCCAGAGTGGAGAGTACTAGAGTAACTGTGCACCACACTGAATGGGCTTCTCACAGAATGGGATCTGAGGCCATGCCATTCCACCCAATTCTGCATTCCATGTTGGAGCCCACAAGCTGTTTCTGGTGGCTGGGCATTCTGGGTAAGTTTAGCTGTGCTGGAGGCAGCATTGCAAAGAGGTGGCACATGTCTTGGGCAGAAAGAAAAAGACCTGCTCTGGGGACCAACTGGTACTATGTGATATCAGGACCGTGCTCCAACGTGGCTGTTTGCTAAGGAACTGTCCCATCTACTCTGGGCCTGAATCTGTTGCCTAATGGTATATAATCCTCACCCTTGCAAGCTTGGCTGGATAGAAGGGTCATTTTCACTTCTGTTGCATTCAGTGAAACTGGCTACAGAGAGAATTATGTATGTGTGCATGTGTGCACTTACGTGCTATGTGCAGTCAAGTTGGATGAACACTAGGCTGGTTCCAAGCCTGGCTCTGTCACTAATTACTCACGAAACTATGGGCAGGTCTCTTCATTTTTGGACTTCTCATTTGCAAGAGATAATTGGTTCTCAGGAAGGAAGGAAGCATCCTGGTTGACAATCAGCTCAATTTGGAAAAAATAGTTTTTATTGAGTCTCCTGGATCAGAAGGCATATTCATCACTGAAGCTTACATTTTAAGGTTTTGAATAAAAGCATGTCAATGAGAAAACTGACATTAGTTGACAGCCAGAGAAAGGCTGCTTCTTCATCTCAGCCCTGATGTTTGTCAGGTGTGTGAGTTTAAAACGTTCACTTGTTCACTTCATCTCACTGCATCCATTGGGCCCACTTTACAGATGAAAAACAGGACAGAGAAGTAAAGCCCAGTGTCTAGAATTCATTCGTTCTACCCAATCAATGCACATTCACTGAGTGCCTGTTGAACCAGGCTCTTGGAATACTGCCCTACCTCCTCCACTTTGTATGGGCTCCACAGGGTAGCTACCCCTCAATATGCAGCCACCAGGACATTTCAGGGTCCCAGATGAAGTAAGGTGCTATCCCTATCCTGGAGTAAATCACTCTCCAACACCCAGCCTCCTCCTCTCTCCTCAGCCCTAACCCATCCCCATTTTATAGGTAAGGAAACCTGGATTCTAACATTTTGAATCTTTTTTTTTTTTTTGGATAATCTGCAAATGGTAGGTTCAACAAAATGTAATATAACAATAACATTCCTCTGAAAGGAAAATTCATGTCTAAATAATGAAAATTTTATCTCTTGTTTGGAAACCAACGTAATTTTATCTAATTAAGAAGACAGATGTTACATATACACTACTTGGGTTTTTTTTAATTATTGTTTTCGTAATACTTTATTTTTTAAGGTAAAATAAAAGGCTGCTTTTTGACAGTGTTAAAGTAATTTTGAATATTAAGTATGTTCAATGTTATAACTTCTGTTCTTCTGTTTCATTTTAATATACTCAAATGTAAATTTTTTTTATTTCTCAAAATAATTGCCACAAATCAGGAGAATGTAGCAAACTCTGGCCATGTGAATTCATGATTAGGTACTATGGGTTTTTTTCTTTTTCTTTTTTTCATGGGTTGCTTTTAATGAAGTAATTTTTTTATGCTGGCTAAAATTCAATAAAAATATAAAATTTGATTCTTAATATATAGCAAATGATACAAGGATCTATTTAAATGCAAATAAGGGAAATACCAAGGAACCTTTTCCT